GGGGATGGAGAGGGGGGGGTGGGCAGGGCCAGGGCAGGGGCAGGATCGTCTCTTGCTGGCCGCCCCGTCACAAGAGGACACAGGGCTTCTTGGGCTTGGCTGGGGCAGGGTTGAGCACGGCCCTCACGGCCTCGGTGAACACATCCTTGATGCCCTCCTGGTTGAGCGCCGAGCACTCCAGGTACTTGACGGCGCGGATCTGCTTGGAGAGGCTGATGCCCTGCTGGGTGGTGATGGGCGCCTGGTTCTGCTCCTTCAGCCGCTTCACGGTCTCGGGGTTGTTCCTCAGATCCTTCTTGGTGCCCACGAGCAGGATGGGCACGCTGGGGCAGTGGTGACACACCTCGGGGTACCACTTGTGCTTGACGTTCTCGTAGGAGGGCGGGCTGGCGATGGAGAAGCAGATGATGAAGACGTTGGTCTGGGGGTAGGAAAGCGTCCGCAGGCGGTCGTACTCCTCCTGGCCGGCCGTGTCCCACAGGTTTAAGTTAATAGTCCTGCCATCCACCGTGTTCTGGGCGCTGTAGTTGTCGAAGACGGTGGGGATGTACTCCTTGGGGAAGGCGTTGGTGGTGTAGCAGATCAGCAGGCAGGTCTTGCCCACCGCCCCGTCGCCCACCACCACGCACTTGATGCTCTGCATCCCGGCGGCTCCGCGGCCCCTCAGCAGCCTGTGGGGAGGGGAGAGGCTCAGGGCAGGGGGGACACGCCAGGGGTGGCCTCACTGTTGTCCCCCCACAACTGCTTGGGCACCCTGAGGAGGGTCACGCTTGGGCCACCCTCCCTGCTGCAGCCCAGGTGAGATTCCCAGCCAGGTATGTGCCCCCCAGGCAGCCCCCATTCTGGGCAGCAGGTTGGAGACCCCCAGTGAGGAAGCACATCCCCTGATCCAGGGCCCATCCAACCTGCCCTTCAACACCCCCAGGGATGGGGCAGCCACAGCTTCCCTGGGCAACCTGGGCCAGGCTCTCCCCACCCTCACAGCCCAGAATTTCTCCCTCCCATCTCAGCTCCAGCTCCCTCTGCCAGCTGGAAACCCTGCCCTTCAACACCCCCAGGGATGGGGCAGCCACAGCTTCCCTGGGCAACCTGGGCCAGGCTCTCCCCACCCTCACAGCCCAGAATTTCTCCCTCCCATCTCAGCTCCAGCTCCCTCTGACAGCTGGAACCCCTTCCCCCTGCTCCCATCCCTCCCTGCCCTTGTCCCAAGCCCCTCCCCAGCTTTCCTGGAGCCCCTTCAGGCCCTGGAAGCTGCTCTCAGGTCTCCCTGGAGCCTTCTCTTCTCCAGGCTCAACACCCCAACTCTCCCAGCCTGCCTCCAGAGCTGCTCCAGCCCTCCCAGCATCTCCGGGGCCTCCTCTGGACTCTCTCCAGCAGCTCCGTGTCCTCCTCCTGTTGGGGACCCCAGAACTGGACCAAAACATCTATTTGGACTTCAGACAGATGGAGCAACCTGACCCCACCTTCTCCATGTGCTCAGTGGCTGCAATGGACCCGCAGTGCCAGAGCTCCTGGTATCACCACACCACATCCCCACCAGACTGGGAGATGGACACTCACCCTGGGCATCAGCACAAACTGCATCATCCTCATTCACCCCTTCAGCCCTACTTCTAAGTTCAAAATGTAACTTCAGGGCCTCTTTTAGTCCCTTGTCCCTTTAAAAGCACCTTTTTTGTTACGTGAATTAAACGGGCACTGGTTTAAAAAATTTCAAGAGCTTTGCCCAGAGAGCAGGAAATGCCCCTGCCAGGCAGGAGCCCGCCGAGCTGCCGGGCACACCCCCAGAGCAGCCTCTGAGATGATGTTCCAGCTCATTTTTCCCAGGCATGGATAACGTGCACGTGGCTGCCTGCATTTGTCCTGCTCACAGAGGTCAGGAATATCGATTCCATCGCTGGCCACACCAGCCTGCTCATCCCCCAGGGCTTGTCCTGCTGCAGGCACTAAGGAAGAGGCGGCTGCTGCTCTGAGGAATGAGGAGTTCAAAGCCTTGGAGAAATGTCAGTCTGTGCTCCTTCACTCCTCAAAGAGAAACAGAATACACATCACTCTTTCAGGACCCATAAATAAAAAATAAACACAGTCTGTGCTTTCCTACGTGCTTGTTTAGCCTCTAGGACTCACTGTCAAATTACGTTGTTCAGTATTAAAGTTGTAGTTAATGGGGGGAAAAAGCAGTAGCAGGGATGCACATGTGCAGGAGCACAAACATTGGGTGAAGGAAGATCTCGGCATAAAACTCACTGATTTTCATACCAAACTCTCTACTGCAGAGACACCCTCTGGGGAGCATTAACATTTCATATTTAAGTGAGAAAACAACTTCCACCCTGCAGTGTGTCTCTTTCTGTCTTTAACCTGCATCAAAAATCAGAAGGAAAAAATGTCTGCTTCAGCTGTCAGGTCAAAACACTGCACAGCCCCTCGTGGGCACCATCCAGCTACTCCAGTGTCTCCCGTGACTGCTCCTCCAAACACCATCTCATGCGTTAATGACTTTCTCGTATCAGACATCCTGCTCTTTCCACTGTGTGCAGCACAGCCCCTCCTGGAGAAATTAAAAAGCAGGAGGCTAATCCCACAAACCCCTGCCAGGAGGGATGTCTCTGTGCACCTCTGAAGCCTGCAGGGATCAGCAGGGAAAGCTGCTCTGGGTCCAGGGGGACCGGGCTCACTTTGCTCGGGAGCCACAGCAGCGAGGGCACCTCCGCTGCCCTGTCCATCCCCCCAGGGATGCGTGGCTGTCCTCTGGCCTCCTGTGCAGCTGGGGCAGCCCCAGCAGTTCCCACAGCAGCACGGGGATGACCCCGGGCCCCACAGGGCTGGGTTGCCCGCGCTGTGGGTGACATCCCAGGCACTGACCCTGTCTCTGTTGGGAAGAGGAGCTGAGCCAGGACAGCGCGGGGCACCTGCGAGCAGGGCAGGGAGACCCAGCCGCGAGACTGCACTGCAGGGCAGCTCACACGGGGGGACAGCTTCCAACCCTGAGGGGCTGGATGCTCAAGTCAATATTATTATAACTATTTGGGGCAATCCCCAGCACAAATCCAGGCTGGGTGGAGCATGAATGGAGAGCAGCCCTGAGGGGAAGGACTTGGGGGTGTTGGTTGAGGAGAACCTCACCATGAGCCAGCACCGTGCGCTGGAGCCCAGAAACCACCTGTGTGCTGGGCTGTCACCAGCAGCATGATCAGCAGGGCCAGGGAGGGGATTGCCCCCTCTGCTCTGCTCTGGGGAGACAGCACTGCAGGGCTGGGTCTGGTTCCGGGGTATCCAACACAAGAAGAACATGCAGTTGATCCCAGGGAGCTCCACAAGAACACAGGGCAGCAGAGCCAGTCCTACATGGCACCCAGCACGGCACAGCGCCCGCAGAGTCCAGCTGGGGTAAGTCCTGGAGCTCCCAGGCTGCCTCTGAGGAGGGCAGGGTGGGAGCAGCTTTCAGAACAAGCTTTCAGAGCAAGTTGCTCACTCGGGTTTGCAGTTACGAGCAATAATTTCTCCCATACAATTACAAGCTCTGATCACAACAATCAAAGCCTTAGGAACAACTCCTGAAAGAAAATGGTACAGCTTCTCAACTTTTAGACAGCATGCACGACTCCTTCCTGAAGGAAGAAAGAGCTCAGAGCTTCAGATTCAATCCTCAGCAACACAGGATGACAGACAAGATCTATTCAAGAGCTACCCTGCAATAATGATAATAAAGAACTCACATTCAACAATCCCTAAAGAGCCAAAAACCCAAAAATTCTTCATCGAAGAGCACACAAATGAGAAAGAGTTGAAAGGAAATTAAAAAGCAGCAGCTGAAAAGGTAACGTGCTTGCAGGCAGCAGGGAGTGTATTTCATAATCTCACATTAGAAGCTCTGAGCAAATGTATGGCAAAAACCAAAAAACAGCCTCTAAGAGGCCCCTATAGAAAGATGGGAGCAGCCAAACCAACAGAGCAGAGGAATCTATCGAAAGTAAAGATTTCCTTTAGAGAATGGGAGTTGCCTCCGAACGGGAAAAGAAAGGAGCACAATCCTGCCACACCACATGCAACATGACCATGGCATGGAATTCATCACAGCTGACCAACCAGGGAAGGGGGGGGAGGCCAGCAAGCCACTGAGGCATGGGAGAGATCCAAAGGGGAGTATGAG